GGAGCCCTGGGAGGGCTGGGGGTCCCCGGGGTCCCAGCGGGAAACTGGGGGGTCCTTGTAGGGCTGGAGAATCCTGAGGTGCCAGTACTGGGGGTCCCCGGGATCACAGCAGGAAACTGGGGGGTCCCCGTAGGGCTGGAGAATCCCGGGGTGCCGGTACTGGGGGTTCTTGGGGTCCGGAGCATCCCTTCCCATGTCAGCTCCCTAATCCCAACCATCCCTGTCATTCCCACTCCAGAAATCCCAAACAAGGCGGCACTGTCCCCACTCAGCCAGGTCTCTGTCCCACGCTGTCCCCGGCCCTTGGGCTGGCCCTGGCTGGTGGCCCTGGTTGGTGGCCCTGGCTGGTGGCCCTGGCTGATAATCCCCCAAGGGTTTGTGATCTCGTTCCAGCTGAAGAGCCCGTTTTGTTGGTCCTTGTGCTGCCAGAGGACACTGTCCCCCTCACAACCCTCCCAAAATCGAGTCCAAAGCTGTGCCCCCACTGCCACATCCCCCCAGGGGATGTTCAGCCCCAGGTCCCTTCCTGGAGAGGGACGTGGCAGGTTTTGGGTTGTCACACGTGAGCCACCCCTTTGAGCGGGTGACAGAGACCCCAAAGAGAAGCAAACGGGTGACATCCAGCTCCCTGTGGAGTTGCTCAGCCAAGCTGCCCCCCAGGGCCTGGGGGAACCCCAAAACGAGCAGCTCGACCCCTCAGAGGGACCCATATCCTGCCACGGGCCCCCAGTTGGAATTCTCCGGGTGTTGGGTGCTGGTGGGGCCGAGCTGAGCCCGAGGGTCTATTTTGGAGCAGGAACGTGGGATCCTCTTGGGCCATGACAGCAGTAGGGAGGAGGAGGAGGAAGAGGAGGAGGAGGAGGAGGCAGAAATAGCCTGGCTGCAGGCCGAGCCCTGGCACAACCAGCTGCACACAGGGAACCAGGGAATGGGGAGGAAAAGGGAGGAAAAAACCCTAAAGCCCCGAAGGAATGTTGATCCCGGGCAAAGCCCAGGGAGAGGAGGGCGAGAGCTGCTCTCACCTCTCAGGGCTGTGGGGTGCCCCCCTCAAAAAAGGGCTTTTTGGGTGCCAGGGTAGAAGATTCCCTGGTCTGAGGGGTTGCATTGGGGTTTTCTTCACTGTCCCTCTGACACTGGATCAGCCCAGGGTGGGAACTGGGGGCAGCAGGGCTGCATGAGGTGCCCCCCAACCCTGGTCTGCAGGGCCCCCCCTCAGCCCTGGCACTGATGCCAGCTTTGGGTGTCTCCCTCTATTTCCAGCTCCGTGTCTGGCTTTGGGCACAAAGCCGGGATATTTTTGCCGTGTGGCCTCAGGACCAAATACTCACAGTCTCAGCCATAAAGAAAAACCCCTTTTCCAGGTTTTTTTGGAACCAGATGTCCCCGTGCCCTCCCAAGGTTTGGGGGCCCCCAGCACCCCTTTCCTCCACCTGCAGGTCAAAGAAATATTTGCCGGCTCCACAGAGACAGAAAACGCCCCGTTATCCCCCCCCCCCCCCAAAA